ATCTAATTCACATCATGGATTAAAAGTTAGCTGTAACTTATAATCAAAGCTATTATTTAAAAAGTAGCAAACTGCCTGTCATGGATGATGGGGGGAAGGAGTGCTGCCACCCAGTACCCCACAGTGCTCCACCTCCAGCCCTGTGGCGCCCCCCGCAGCTCCTGTCTGTGCGGGGGGTGGGGGGCATGGCCACCCCTTGGATGGGGGGGGGCGGCGAGGCCAGCACTGCACCACCAGCACTCCACACCGCCACTGCCTCCAAGGAGCACAGCTGGGGGGCAGAAGCCAGGCCAGCACTGCTGACCTCACCCCCCCCACTCCAGCCCCTCAGTCCCTGCTATCATGGCGTCAGGCCTGCACTCTGTCCTGTGTGTTTGTCTGTGCAGAGCACTCCAATTGGCTTCCAAGACAACCAATCAAAGTGCAAATAAACTGTTATGGACAGACAGACAGACTAAGGCTTTTATTACATTAGAGTAAAAAAATGAGTGCTCCTCCATAGTCATACTAAAGAGGTCAAATTGCTAAATGCATAAAGACCATGAACAACATTTTAGACAGGAACAGACTGAACAGGTCCCTACTAGATAAATCAGAGTGAATTTGAGAGAAAGCAAGCAGAGACCTTTTCTTTACAGTTTAAGACAAAGACATACGTCTACTTACACCAATATCATCCACTAACATTTTATCCAAACCAACTGGCCCAAGGGAACTTTTCACAATGTTGGCAATCGCAGCTGCAGCTGTAACTGTAAAAAATGCAACAGCAAGTAACTACATAACTCTTCACAAATAGCTGATTCTATAGCCCACATTTCTGTAAGTATAGTCCCTGTTTTAAAAGCCCAAAATATAAATTATTTTTATCTACGTTTGGCACATCTGCTTCTTCAGGGCCTACTTGACTGGGGAAATGCAAATGGTTGGGGTGACAGTATAAGGATCCATGACAAATCCATTTGCACAATTTGAATGGACACCATGAAGATACCTCCTTTGGTTTCAGGACTAAAATAGTAATTTTTGCCTAATACAGTTAATCAACCCACAACTGTAAGTGTACTAAACACATGTAATTTACTTATTATTCAAAGTCTTCTTGTATAATGTTCTGCCATCTCATATAGGAAAGAGATATTAAACAATCCTTTCCTTCAGACTCTGGCACTTTTTTCTGTATCCCATAAGCATAGCCACTTAATCTGTAAATCGAAGAAGTGGCAGTCAAATGGGAAGTGTTAAAATCTAATCTTCCCTTTGGAACTCTAAAAGTACCAAACCCCTTCCTATGTTTGTAATCAGTATTTACAAAGAGCTGTTCTTGCTACCGGTATTTACCTGATGGTACCAAATTTCCTATTAACATAAATTCACCTTATTTAATAGTGAATGTGGCAGACAGGTTACCTTCAGGGAGCAATCTAGGTCAGGGTGGGCAATTATTTTGGGTGGAAGGCCACTTACCCAGTTTTGGCAAGCTCTTGAGGACGGCATGGGTAGCCCCACCCCTTGGCAGGTGACCCGCCCCCTGATCACCATCTTGGGACCAGTGTCCCAGGGCCACACAGGGGCCTGTGGAGCCAGGCTGGGCTGTACCAGCAGGGAGAGAAGGGAGCTGGCCCGGACCCCCAGACTCCTGTCAGCCTGCTCTGGGCCCTGCTGGCGCTGGCCCCAGGACACCAGTCTGGGCCCTGTGTTCCCACTGGCTCCCATGCCCACTCACTCTCAGTGTCCCCCCAGCCCTGTGGTACAGGCACGGGGCAGCATGCAGCCCCGACCCTGCGCTTGCTGGCAGGAAATGGGTTGGTGCCGAGCACAGGCAAAAGCAGTGTATCTGCCCATGCTCCCTGCTGCAGCTGCTCACAGCCTGCTGGGCAGCCCAGAGGCAGCAGCGGCAGTCTCACTGTAGCCTACTGTGGTGCGAGCTCTGGGCGGGCAGCAGCAGCAAACACTGCCCAGCACGGCAAGCGGGGGGGCGGAGGTGTCGTCACAGTTGCTGCTGCCGTAGCACAGCCCCAACAGGTGAGCCAGAAGCCGGCACAGGGCCTCAGCTGGCAGTGGGGATGAGTTACAAGCTGGTGCTGTGCGTGGGAAAAGTGGCCCCGGCCCCACCCCTGCCCCGTTGCCTGCTCAGGACAGCCCTGTGTGGGCCGCGAGCGGCTGCAGCAGGGATCATGGACCATGGGGCAGGGCCACTTTGC